GCAGTGTTGCAAAGTCTTCAGGGAGTTGGAACACTGTGCACAGCCTGCAGTCTGCGCTCCCACCTCCCAATTCCACCCCACTCTCACCCCGCCCTCATGCCCCTCCCAGCCTTTGCTACTCCACCTTCCCCTCATCAAGTCTTTTTCCAGGGAGACAAATTATTAATAACCATAATCCCTCACTTGACACTTCATGAAAGCAGTGGGACATCCATTAGCTCACATGGTGCTTCCAAAAGACAGGGGCAGAGCAGCGTCAGACCCTTCCTCCTATCTCCCACGCCCAGCACCACTGTATAATAAGAAAGCTGAGGGCCAGGCAGGGAGTGGGACCTGATGTGATGGCAGCAGAGTCAGGGCTGGGGCCAAAGGCCATTGGGCAGAGCCCCCAGCACTTAGGGAACAGCAGCGGGGCCACAAAGCTTACCTGACAGTCCCCATTTTGTCCTTGAGCTCTTTCCTGACTCAGGAGGCCTTCCTGGAGATTTGTTCCCAGGGGTTGTCATTCAGGGCAGAATGACCTGGCACACACCTGCTGTGACTTACCTCCGCCTCCTCTCTGCTTCCGGAATGACAAGAGTCATCACCATCGCCAGTGCCATGACTGCCACATTAATAATGCTGGTGTCTGCCCAGCTCCCAGAATTTAACAACCACTAATCCATCCATCAGCTCTTTGGAGCCTTAAGACAGCTCTGGGAAGGCATTTCACAGACAAGGACAAAGAGGATCAGAGAGGGCAAGTGACCAGCCCAGGTCACCCAGTTAGGCCTCGGGAGAATTTACAGCCTCCTGAGAGAGAGACGCTACACCCTTGGAAAAGAAGGCAGAACAACACGATGGGCATTAGTGCAGGCCTGCCGGGAGTTTTCTTGTCACCCTTGTTTTATAGACGAGGAGACCTTGCCTCCAGCATCTCTGGCCCAGAGCTGCTTCTTCCTGGGTCAGGACTAAACATCTGATCCAAGCTCTGCTCTTTCTGGGGCACAGTGCCACTTCCTGGGGGGCTGTAGCATTTCCAGCACAGTAGGCCTGGTCTCCAGGCTGGAAGGAAAGGCTGGTGGGGAAAGTGGAGGCAGACAGACCTAAGAAAGGGGGCTGATGGGGCCAGGAAGAGGAGATAGAAGGGGCTTCCTGAGGGAGGTGTTGCAGGTGGGAGGAGCCTCCAGGTGGGGCACAGTGTGTCTGTACAGGACCGAGTGGGCTGGTCAGGCAGAGTGGGTAGAAACGCTCAGCTTAGAAAGTCTAGGGACAGGCATGATGCTGCAGACCCCACCTTCTCCTTGTACAGCAGGGAGATGTGTCCTGACCGAAGGTCTGTGCTGGCAAAGGGGCCCTGAATACCCAGCATGATGGGCCCGTTTCTCATTAACCAGCCAGGAGGAGAGACGGGAATCCTCCATGGTCACCTCACTCTCTGTGCCTCTTTCTCTCAACATAAAAGAGAAAAGGATGAATTAAATGAGCTTGAGATTCCTTCTGTTGTGAACTCTTTGAATGTCATGTGTCCCTCCTCGCTGTCCTTGGCTTGAAGCCTAGTCCCTGCTGTATACTCAACCTGGGCAAGTCACACTGCCTCTGAGTGGCAGTGTCCTTGTGGGTGTCATAAGTATGACGTTGCCTTCCTGTGCAGAGTCAGTGAGCCCTGCATGGGAGCATATCTGTATAGCGGGTATCTGACCCTAGGGCAGCATGGGTAGGAGTGGGGGTGAGAGTAGGGGTGGGGAAGGCCCAGGTTCTGACAGTCCCTCACTTGTCTGTAGGACCAGGGCTCATTTATAGATATCCGCTCCCTGGCTGATGGGGCAGAGGGAAGTGGGACCAAAGGTGCTGAGGGGGCAGTTTGGAGCCCTTTGCAGGAAGAAGCCTCTGGTCACTCTTCCCCTTCTCACCCCAACCCCCACTTCATCTTCTAGGCAATCTCACAGTGGTCCTAGAACTGCCCTGAAGGTTCATGTCATGATCTCCATTTAACAGATGGGAACACTGAGACCCAGAGAGGACAAAGGAATAGCCCAAAGTCCTACAGCAGAGTTGAGGTAGAACTGGGACCAGAATCAAAGTCTCTAATCTGGAGCTCTTTGTACCCCCAAAATAGCTAGTTCTAGAAAAAGAAAGCCTGTGAATCCTCCATTTTACCTCATTTGCAAAATAGCATTTCCCTAAGTGTGTTGACTTAAAGATGGGAAGCGTTTGGGTTCTGTAAACAGCTCCAAGTTTTGCAAACACCATCAGGCTTAGCATGAGGCACAGGACTGTGTGAATGTCACAGGGTGCTGGAAGCTGCAGTGTTGTAAACTGTATTGGGCTTCGCCAATGGCACAGGACTCTAGGAAAAGCATCAAGTGTGGCAAACTGTGGGACTCTGCAGATGGCGCTGTGATCCACACACATCGTGGGCTCTATAAAGTGCACAGGGCACAGAAATGCCACCCCTGGTAAGATGCAACCTTGGGATGCAAACTAGTGTGGTCAGATCTCAAGCCTGGGCCATCCACAGTGGTATCTCACTGCAAGATTAATCCTGGAGCCAATCTGAAGACTTTTGAGCCTGTGTTCCAGAGGCTTCTGGGGGCCCCCGATCCTTAGTTCCAGTTCCATAGCTCTGAGTTTAGAAATATTCTTGGACCAGGCCGTGTCATCCTGGGGAGGCTAAGGTAATAAATGAAAAGCACTCGTGCCTGAGGGTACTGTAAGTACTGTGCCATGTGGGGTGTCTGCATGTTTGACTCAAAGATTGATAAGAACTTAGCCAGCTAAGTGCGTCCTAGTTCCTACGCAGACTAACCCATCTTTTTCAGCCTCTGGAGCCAAGGCAGAAGCAGTTGATCTTCCAGGAAGTCTAAGGGGACCTTCCTTCTCTCAGCTATGCACCTGTAATCAAAAGGTTCCATCTCTGCCTAGCTCTGTGAGATCCTATTGTTGACTTTAGTCTGAAGGATTTGGAGAGATAGACCCAATTCAGTTTTCTCAAGTAGATTCAGGGTCTAGTCTTTATCAGTTCAAGCCAACTATTGGCCTCCAGCGTAATGGTCATTCATTCCCATTTCTGATTTCTTGAAGACTTACTCACGCAACTGGTATCTACTGAGTGCCTACCAAGTGCCAAGTAGGTCTGCAATTCTAGCCGACCCTCCAGATCTGCAGGTCCTACATCTGCAGATTCAACCAACCACGGATTAAAAAGATTCGGGGGGGGGGGGGGGGGGGGGGGGAAGGGGAGATAGAC